ACTGTCATATACAGTACGTGTGCGATAGTTTCTGTATCAACCTACCTTATTTTCACGATATTTTTAGAAAAATAATATCCAAGTAATTTTCGCACGCAAAATATTCAAAGAAACAACAAACGCATTAATACAAAAATCAGTTTTACAGGCAACCTTTCTTTTTCGATTCGTATAATGAGAAAAAATAATAAAATCGATTTATTATTAATTAATAATTTTTCTTATTGTATTTAGGAAAATATTAAATATTAAAAAAATACAGTATTTTTGAAGTTAAAATAAGATTAAACTAACGAATATCAAAACCAAAGTGATGTAGAGATACGAGACGCTTGTATATCGATGACATAATACACGTTACTGAGGAGCAAACGAAAAGAATCAAGTTTAATTAATTAAGTCAGAAAAAAACCTGTATTGGACGACCACCTGTCTAAAAGACCACTTTTTGAAGGAACTGTGGGTGGTCGCCATAGACAGGTTTTACTGTATATGTATTAAGAGTGTAAAGAGCAGTCTCTTTGCCAATAGGACTCCAGACCGAGAGGTAGGAAAAACAATAGTGTTGCCGTCTCTAAAATGTGGCAATGGTAAAGTAACTTAGTAATCCACAGGCAATGGGCCAGAGAAACAGTATACACAAGGATGAAGGCACTGCACACAATACAGTTCACAGGATGCAACCCCTGGTCAAGAGGAGTCAAAACTCAGTATTGCCAGCCACAGAAGGAAATGGGGCAATTGTCACTCAGTAAGCTGTTGTTACTAGTCAGGGAGATCGTGTATTCCGAAGATGGGCGCAGTAGAACCGATAGAATTTACTGGAATTGACAAAATGTCTGAGCACACCAACGAAGCTGCTGTCAATGGTTGATAAGGCCGGTGCTGGCTCGCTGAGAGGTCAATCTTGATTGATTGATTAATTAATTGCCTGTCAGCTATTTCTCTACTTGGACAAATCCTCAAGTGATGAGTATATTCTGCAGGTGATATATGGTGTAAAACATTAGAGAGGTTGCGGCCGACGTTTTCAACGCGAACATGTGTACGTCGGACGTTCAGTGCCGCCTTCCTGTGAGCGTAGAAGTTTGACGATGGCGTTTAGAACGTTGAGCACGATTCTACTATTGTCAAACTTCTAGATTCACAGAAAGGCGGCGCTGAACGTCCGACGTACACATTTCCGCGTTGAAAACGTCGGCTGCATCCTCTCTATTAAATGGACAAATTCTTTTTCTTCTTCTTCTGCATTACATTTATAACTTACTAGCAGACCCCGCCACGCGTTCTTGTGGCTCAAAATGTATCTATTATAAATTTATAACACTTCCCCCGTGGGGGGATTTTTCGAAAAATTCTTCTTAGTGTACATTCTCTTCACGTACCCTATTAAAACGCAATCAAAAACGCAAAAACCCGCATCTAAAATAGTATAAATAGAAGCAGAGTTCTTAATTAACGGTAAGCCTAAATCCCGTCCATCTCCCGGGGGGATTTCGACATGTATATTATATAAAAACACGTGCGTATTCCAATGCAGCGTTGTGTCAAAATTTCAAAGGAATCGGTAGGAACAAACGAACATTACATTTTTATTTATATAAATAGATAGATGATCCGCTTTAGTTCATTTTTACAGAAGAGCATAATGCCTCACAGAAAAGCAAACTTAGGGCGTCGTACTCGTAGCGCCATCTGTTGGACATAAAAGCCTTAACCCTAGATGATATAATTTAATTTATATGAATGTTTAACGGAATAATATACAGCCTATGTCCACCCTTAAGTTCCATTCTAAATATTGGTGAAAGAATTTTTGAAATCGGATGAGTAGTTTCGGAGATTACCTGCTGCAAACAAACTTACATACAAACATTACCTCTTTATAATATTAGTATAGAAAAATAATGAATATAAAATACAGTCGACCCCCTATAACACTGTAGATAATTCTGTGTTATATGAATTCCATGTTGTACGAGTCACTTACATTTTACAAATGCGTATGCCGGGCTGTGAATGGCTCACGTATTTGAAAAATCTAAGTGACTCGTACAACATGGAATTCATATAACACAAAATTATCAACAGTGTTATAGGGGGGTCTACTGTAATTTAAAATGGTAGATTCTTTTTGGAAGACTCTGTGTATATATATATATATGTATTCAATTATACACAAAGATGGTATCATAACAGAGGCATTGATATTTGATATTAATTAAAATGATGTGCATTTATATACTAGTAATAATAATAAAATTTAAAACTACTATTAAACTTGTTCCATTAACACTATTATGTACTTTAAATTCAATAAACTGCTATTTTGTATGAGGATTTTTTTATTGCTAGACAGATTCTCTTATAAATTATCTTGTCTTTCTGAAAAATTTCTTTATACTATTCAAAATTATTTTAATACATATTGCTACATAAAAATTTATGTAATAAAATAATTCAGTTTCTCAAAACTAGGTATATATTAATAAATAGATTGCATGGAACCAATCTCCAGCACAATTTTACAAGAGACCAAATGTTTTTGACTGTGTTAAACAGGCATTATCAGGTCTATTTTAACAGCTGCACTCAAATCATGAAGGTCAGTTAGCCTGACAATATGCATTTAACATGGTTGAAGACATTTTCTCTCTTGTAAAATTGTGCTGGAGATTGGCTTCATGCAATCTGTTTATTAATAAAATAATTTCAATGTCTATGAGTATAGTAATTTACATGTACAGACAAATAAATTTCACTCCATCCTTAGATGTTAAACAAAGTAGATGTCGACACAAACATATACCTCCATGGAAATTTTCTTACTTTTTTGGGTTCAGGGAGAGTCAAAATATGAAGACTTGCAAAAATCTCAGAAGAATTTGACACAATTCCAATGCTTTCCCTTGTTACATACGGTACATAACAGCCGAGATTGTAAAAAAGCTTGAAATTCAATTCCAAATCCGTGATGCATCTTAGAATTGAGAAAATAAAGTACTGTAGCTAAAATTTGAATATAACTGCAAGCAAATTTAGTAATCAAAATTAATTATCAAAATGTAAGGTTGTGTAGTCTGAGATTTGGAAACTGTTACTGCTTTTTCACTTAGGGATTTTACTACATAAGCTGAAATTTTTATTTAAAAAAAAAAAATGGTGCTCTGAAATATATTTCAGTTGTCATTCAAACATCATTTTAGCTAATATTTTCAGATAAATTTTTTATTCATCTGCTAATGTCTCTGATTGTTACCTGTTAACAAGAATATATATATGATGAGAAGAAACTAAAATAAATTCCAGCAACACTTTAATTTGATATACAAACAAACATTTTCAACCTTAATATTCTTCTAAGTGTTAACTTTATATAGTATATGATTTGCGTTCTAAAAATCGAACGTCAATTTATAAGACAGTGCATTTAAGACTTAAAGCAGATCTATTAAGAAGGCTGAAAATGTTTCAATATTGAATTAAAGTGTTGCTAGAATTTATTTTATGGTTTCTTCTTATCATGTATTGTTCTTGATTCCAGTTTCTGTAAACTTTTTTTAAGTAACTGTTAAGAAGAATTTATAACTTATAAAGCCATAACAATTTTTAAATCAAAGTCTTTTAGACAAGACTGTGTACGTGTAGTTTGGGTTCGTTTGGGAAGAATTTAAAAAATACAAAAAAAAAGAAAGCCTGTAATCTATATCAGTGTTTTTTCAACCTTTTTCTAATTGCGGACTGGTAAAATTTTGGATAATTTTATTTCAATTGGTAATTGTATACAACTATGAATTAAACTTATTTAGTCCCCTATGTATGGTTTTTCTAAAGTTACTACACATAATAAAGTATGTACAGTACAGTAACTCTAGATTACTATTTAAACATCACCTGTAATCAACTGCATCAGTATTGTCAAATATTTTTCTGCAGACCAGCACTAGTCCATTGACTGGCAATTGAAAAACACTGATCTGTATTATAAAAATTAATAAACTATGCTATGTAAAAAATAGTGTGTATTTTTTTAACTTCACTCTTTTAAAAAGTTCAGTATACAAGCCTGATTTTAGTTAATAAATCATTATATTTGATCATCTTAATGAATCTAAATCCAGTTATTTCAAATATGAAAGAATAACCAACTTATTACATATACCTTTAATGTATTTAACATACAAATGAAATGTCAAATGCTTATGATGTAATACATGGTAACTTAATCACTCACTTTTAGTCTAAATTATTTCATATCTATACAGGGTGTCTCAGTTAAACGTTTCAGAACTTTTAAGAGGGGTAGGGTGCATCCCGACAACTCGGAATCATATAGCAGTGCAGGGTCAGAAATACTTTCCTGAAGCGGTAGATGGCGTTGCACGAAAGTTCTGAGTGTTCTTGCAGGGAATCGTCATTTCACACATGTTAGCCGATATGCATTTGGTGTACGGGACTACAGATTGTAGTGGGCCAGCCGCACAGCACTTGTACACGGAACGATATCCGATGAGGTGTATTCCCAGCCATAATTTCTTTGCAAGCCTGCACCAGAGGTTAGCTGTTTCTGTGTACGTCACCACTTCAGGAAAGCATTTCCGACCCTGCATTGCTATATGATTCCGAGTTGTCGGGATACACCCTACCCCTCTTAGAAGTTCTGAAACATTTAACTGAGACACCCTGTATATTTAATTAGTCAAGCTACAACCCAATGAATCTGGCATTATCATCTAATTAATTTATAATCTGGGCCTTAGTTTACTGTATAATTATAGGCATGCCATGCTGTGATAAAAGCTTAAAGTTGGCTAAGAGACACGGAGATTCGTGAGCATGTCATATTTAATTGGCAGATTGAATGATGATGGTTATACCCTCTTAATTGTTTAGTGTTCAAACGTTAATTTTTATTTTTAATACATTCAGATCATTTTATAATAATGCAGATTTGTATATTAATAAATTACTTTTTAATTCTGTATTATAATTTGTTACAGTTGAGACTTATGCAGAATGAGCTCAATGTGGAAGAAGTAGTAAAAGATAGAAGTTTAAAGGTGTTGTTTTCATTTTTTAAGTTTTAAACGCTAATTAATAATAATTATTTTCTCATAGTTTCTTCTTTTTTTTTAATTTTAATTTTAGGTATTTTATGAAAGATGTCGATCCTTTTACAAACCACCCGATTTCAAATTATGAGAAAGAAAATTTTAGTTTCCATAATCCGAGAAACATAATCCACTTCACAGAATCAGTTCATCCATCTTAAGCCATGATTTATGAAGTGCCACGACAGTAAAGTAGGAACTTATGATTTATATCAGCAAAATTTAGAAAACTGTACAATAATTTTTTTATTCATGTTCTATTTTGAAAACAATGTTATACAACTAGAAAGTTATAAATTTACTTTAGTAATGAAAATATAATAAATTTTTCTATATCGTTTCTCAAATCATTATTAAAATTTTTAAAAGCTCTATCAAAAGTAATGTGCATTTAATAATAATTCTATCAATTAACATTTTTATACCATTTTAATTAATATGCAATGTAAACCATACATTAGTTTAATTGGGAATATATTCAACTTTCTTCATCTACATGGTGTCTCGTAAGCCTGGATCCATAGAAATTATATTGATCTTTGTTTAAGGTTACCAGTTTTCCCGGATTTTTTCTAACAATGTTAAGACTTTATTCTAAAAACTGTTTCTATAATAAAGTGTCTTTTTCTGCAGTTTAAGTGTATTTCAGAAACTTGTGGCCAAAAAATACACATCTATGGATGTCCCAGTATCTTTCTAAAAGAACCTGTTATCCCGGATTTTATCACCAAATATCCAGTAATCCTATCCTCGTTTATTTGCTTACGGATAAAGTATGGGGTTGCGTAAGTTGGAATGAATTCAAGTTATCTTGACGGTGGAGATTGAGTTGGCAAGAAGTTGCTGAAGAGTTTAACAAGCTGGATGCAGACCTCGCGTCACTTACACACAGCAGTCTGGATGAAGCCCATTAAACTCTTCTTGCTGACTCTGGATCTCTGCCATTAAAGTATTTTGTTCATCTCTGCTCGGTGCCATGCTTTACCTGTCGTAGAATAAACAATGATCAACATAACTCGTGGATCCAGACTTACGGAACATCCTGTATATTAAATAATGTATTTAAAAGTTAAAATGTTTTTTTAGAAATCAGGACTTTTCTTTCACCAAAGAATACTTGTAAATTAATTGGCAGAATATAAAAAGAGACAACACTGTAATTCGAGAGGTTAAATTGTTCATAAAGTAAAATACTTTTTTAAGTCTTTATTTTTTCATCTGTATATAATCATAACCATTGTGAGTTTGATCGGGCCCACAGTGCTGGCAGCCAAATATTGATAAGGAACAGAGCTTGACATATCCAGGACAGACACACGTGAAAAATTCATAGGGATCTCTGAGATTCAATCTCGCATCTCCCAGAGCAGCAGGCTGACTTCTTATCCACTTCTTGGTCATCCTCCATCACAGATTTCTGGATCTATTTATTCTGTAATTATTTTAGACCAAAGCAACTATTATCATCAATGAATCTGTGAGAATATTAATAACTGCAAACACCTAAAAATTTGAAATAATTGTTGACGAACATTTGCATAAAAATTTAGAGTTAATACCATTGTTATATGTAAATAAATGAAATATATTTGCTTGATTTTGGAAGCTAAAAAATGTTTAAAAAATGGAATTTTATCAGTCATTTATATGATCAACATTAACATGCACTAACACATTCAATAGAATGACATAGAATGTAATTAAAATACAATAGTAGCAATCCAATCCAACTATGAGTAAACTTGATTACATTTAAGCAGTTTTTTTTTTATTTTCTAATATTTATTTATAGTAATTTAAGAGAATGTAGACCTAATAATTTTGATTGTCCTTGATTGAACTTGACCTTGATTATGTTGCACTTAAATTATAATGTATTGGGTTTTCGGAGTGTTGTTTGTTTATAATTATCAGCTTGTTATCTTTATAAAATATTTTAAACGTGACTGTTTCTTATCAGGGTTTAAAGGCACATCTCACCCTTCTCAATATCTGCTGAATAGATGGAAAAGTCATACCACCAAAACAAAAGAAGAATCTAATTTTTCAGAATAAAAAGAAATGTAGCTGTATAAAGGACACAAATGATAGGGAGAATGGGAGAAGAGAGTCAGCTTTCTTGACTGGTATTTTGTATGAGCTATCAGTATCGGCTATAGGTACTATTTGGCAAATCGTCTTCCTTGTTTTCTCAATGATAAATGTTTAATTGTTTGTTCTATTAAGTTAGAGCAATGTAACGCTTGGGCGATCTGCCTAGGAGGATGCCTTCCAGGAGGTTTTTTAAAAGTAACTGGTCCCTGTTTGGGCATTACAGATGTGCCTCAGTGAGGCACAAACCCACAACTGAACTCCCGGTGTTCAGAGAATGTAACCGCCTGGCCACTGGTGGGCCGATAAATGCTTAAGTTTAGCCTTCTTTATAAGACTGGGCCAGATACATAGTGTGGGTAATTACAATATTATAACAGGTGGAAAAAGAAATGATGAAAAATTATTTTCTAGAAATAAAAATTTAGTAATATTTTATTATATGTAATAATGATGTACCATACAACATGGTGTTTGCCCTATTATTAATATCAATGTGACATTGATGTGGGAAATGGCATGAGGATGAAGAGAGAAATAATGATGTGTACGTCCACCTATTGGCATTCGGTGGGGGGCCAGATACAAAGACAGCTGCAGGAACTTAAGACCTCCCTATTGACTACCTCCACAGTTTAATCGTCTTGTGTGTGCACAGTTTAAAGGGGGGTTTCTAAAAGTACATCGTTGTATACGATGGGGGAGAGGAGTTAGTGACAAGAATTTGTTCTTATAAGCCTACTTACTAGTCGTTTGAATAAAAATTCGGGGATATTTTTTTTGTTTGGTGGGGGCACGATTTTGTTCGCCCTATTTGAAGCTTAATATCTCCTTTTCCTTTCGACGAAAATTTCTGAAATTTTGCAAGGAAGTTTGGGTATTAGGGGGTTTGATACTATTAAAATTTGGCGGTTAAACGTCAAGAGAGTGAGACACGGGGGTCCCGTGTCGTATCTCGAGAGAGGTCGAAAAATGCGGGTAACATTGTCTCTCACTGTTACTCATTACCTGCCGCACATGAAATCTATACACGTCAAAAAAAAAAACTTATTAAATAAGGAAGTTATCGAATCAAGTTTCCTTGTCGAAATTGTTCCACGTGATGATAAAGTGGTGTTAATTAATAGACGGGTCCCTAAAAGGCATTTATAACTATTCAAATATTTTTAATTTTTCAGTTAAAACTCCCTTTGGGTACTTCTGTATTCTCCCCGTTCAGATTTAAGTCTTTTTAATAAAGGTGGCTACTTTTTTTCTAATTGAACTTGTTCCTCACCAGCATCGATGTGTGTATATATTGGGGGACGGGCCAATGACAATACTATTAATTTTTGTTGTGTGGTATCTGTGCCCTCTGTTCTATGTATACATAGATCTACGCCCACACTATTCATGTCAATAGACGCCAATATCAGATTGACATGTAACAACTAAAGGGAAAAGAGGGAAGACTATGCTGTAGGGCCTTTATAGTGAGCCCGAAACTCCCTTTTTTTAAGTAAATTTCTTTGTAAGGACATATCATTGTGTCGTGTGGAGGAGGGAAGGGGAAAAATCTCCCCAAATAAAAATATTGGAGGGTCGGATCCACTGGTGAAATATGTTTAGGGGAGGAGGAGCTCGTGCTGTCTATCCACGCGGTTGTGTGTGATCATACAATATTCAACGCATTGGAATTATTTAATAGATTTTAATGTGGAGAATATATTGCTTAAATCTGTACGATCGCAGTGTAATGTGATGTAATTACTGATCATTTCCTTTTCCGTATTAAGTTGCCCTGGATATTTAGTGTCGAGTACAGCAACACAAACACGTTGAGAGTCGAACATGTTCGTACCATTTAACTCTCTCAATACATTCACTAATCGAGCTCCGTATCTTGTGGCATTCTCTATAAGTTGGTCTTGTTACACGAGTAAGTTGAGACGAATTCCCTTGAAAACCCTAATTAATATTCATTACACGTTCAGTCACATGGTGAAGCAAGACCCATTACCAATAAAATAGGCCCTAATTGACAAAATCAAGGCCGATCGTATAGCTCTGGTGTTGTAAAAACCTATTTTATATACTTATCTCTAAGTTAAATCTATTCTGTATACCCAGGTTGCTTGTTTATTCAGCTGTATTGTCTGCTTCTTTATCCAGCTTTACTAAAGCCGTTTTACTAGGCAATGCGCCCATTATATTTGTCTTTTTTTTATGTATTTATGGTTACGTGAAGGCCCTTCCCGAATACTCCTAAACTATATACTTCTCCTATTAAAAAAAAAGTAATTGTCTGCCCGTTCATATTGATTTAGGTTATATGCACGCACTTACAGGGACATCCAGAGGAGGGATAATCACGGGATCCTGATTATCTAGGAAATCATATACATTTTCGTTTAGTTTTAATTTGCTATGGGGCCCCAATATGTATTATTCCAAGGACCTCCTGAGTGGTTCTACTTGCACTAATTGTTTATACATCTACTCGTAAACAATGTTTACGAATATAAAATTTCCTTGTATTATCTTTCTACTTGTTTATAGAGTTTCTATTGTATAGATGAGTAGAATTGGCGGTATTTTTAGAAGTGACGTAACAGTTGTTCCCACTAATCTCCTTACACTCGGTTGACTAGTAGATGGGCCCCCTCCATCCTTGAAAGGTTGATGTAAGAACCAGCTGTGGGAAGAATTGAGCTTTAAGCTTGTCACATCTTTTCTCCTGTTACTGTATTTTGAAGTTTCTTATCACAGAATATGTTTTATTATTTGCATAAATATGCAAATTACCTGGAAATTATCCAAATTACACTATTTCGTATAGAAAACGCATTGTTCTAAACTCATTTTATCAGTCGTATTCTAAGTGTTCCCTTAATACAAGGTACAAAACACGGTTAATTAACTTTTGAGTCACTGTGTATAATACTTCACGTCATTCAGAATTGAGATAAATGAATTGGAGTCTTGCAACATGGTATTCCATCCATTTCTGAAAGCCACGATGAACCCAATGATCTCGATGATGATTACAGTTGAGCAATAGCTGATCCAGAAATATCTAGGTGGTGTGCGGAAAGGAAATTATCAGAAGTATTGGGTTTTACTCGAGAAAAAACCCTAAGAAGGGGGTGCAGTGCCCTGCGTACCTCCCAAATCCGGCCCTGCAATTGATTTCATATTAAATGCCGTTAATTAACTTTTTATATGCTCAAATACTAGACAATTCATAGCATTTTTCTTCGAAATATGTGTGTGTATGGGAGGTCCACCTCTCTCTCTCTATAGCGGTCTCCCCAACTTGCAACGTAAACGGATTCTCATGTTAATGTTTTCTTTTCGAGACAGCTGAGCTGCAGGTGTTCCTGTTTTTATAAAAACTTGATTCTAGGAATTCCATCCCGGCCGATGTTGTGGAAGTAACTTGGATTGACACACAATCGGGGATGATGAATAACAGGAACGACAAGTGGGAGGAGGAGACTGCTGAATAGAATGTGGGAACCATTCTGATCGCGCGATAGATTATTAATCATTCTCTAGAGGAATATCAATAGAAAAAAAATCTAGATATAGGGTCTAAAATCCTCGATCTTTATTATTAGTTTTTTAATCCTCAATAAAATCCTTTTGCTAATTGATTAATTCTTAGTAGGGTCGTCGAGAGCTTATATGGGGCCCGGGAATAGAGCTAGCTCCTTTTGCCTTTTAGAGAGACCAAATGAAATACGTAGAATGTTTCTTTAAAAAGCAGTTTTAAAGTTTTTCTGTTAGTAAAAATAATAAGTTTATAAAGATAGGAACCACTGTGGGATCCATAGTGAACCTGTACAGTTCCTATGGCGAGAGGGAAAGACGGTGCTGTGATAAGTCCCCTGTGACCCATAGTATGGACCACAGGGGGTTTAGGAAGATTAGATAATTTAACTAACATTCTCCGAAAAGCAACAGGGGGGACACGTGCCTTGGTCCCCCTGAATTTGCCTTGAGCAGCACCCATATTCTCAAAATCCTAGATTGACAGGGCCCTAAATTTTCTCCGGGCACAGGAAAATTCCCAGTTCACCTCTCTCGACGGCCCTGAATTCTTCCTAGATATTAAGGATTCATTATAAACGTTTATTTAAATGATTCATTGTATTCATTAATTTATGATTCATTGTACTCGTACTGTATTAGTAGGTTAGCCAGAGAAGAGGAGTCTTAGGCGGCTCTGCCCCGTACTTATTTAATTACATAAGTACAGGAAAAAGTTGTGAATGCGATAAATGCACTTACATTCTCACATATACAATACCTAAACGTGTGCTCTTCGTCCACAAGGCTAGCTAGAGGTATAGAAATGAATGTAGGTTTGCACGTTCTAATTCGGGTCTCCCCTAATTATTTACAAATTAATGAATAAAATCAAATGTACACATTACAATACAATAGAATTTTGCAAGCACACTTTCTATTTGACATCGATAAATTGAAATATAACCTGTAACATTATTTAAATTGGTGCTTTCCGGAACAGGTTCTTAGAACAAACCAGAATTGTTTATGATGATAATGAAGATGCTTACGAAAACGATGATAAAATTGGCTTATATGTGCAAGGAATATATATATAGTAAAACCTGTGTAAACCGGAATCGCGCGGTTAAATGATTAATTAATCTTACGTTCTGCGACAAAGTGACCGTACAGGTAAGAGTCAGTATAAGGGTACAACCAAGGTCATTTGGGCCAAGGGTCTAAACTTAACTACTTTCGATTATGTAGGAGTTTCGGTATCCAAGGATAACAAGAATCTCACGTGGCATATTTGAAGTCATGCGGTACGTAAATACATCTGTTGCTACTCTCTGGTAGGGCCGTCAGCGCTTGTATGAGACCTTTTCGCGGGCCTCCTTTTGACATTTTTCGTTAGTAAAAATAATAATAAATTTACAGAGATGTTATTACATTATGAGTCCCCAAATTTTTTCCCTAAGATGAAAACATCCTCAGCTCCTTCTCGACGTTAGGCGCTTACATACGATGCGAAGAATGAATGTGCAACGTAAGCTTCCCATTGCTATTGGATACCGAAAGAAAGACAAGACCTTCCTAGGTGTCGAACAGAGAGAAAATATAAGATTTATGTTTATTTTTTAATGCATAAAATCTGATAAGGAAAGAAACTTTAGCTGTATTACTTTCATAAGTGGTGGAAACCTGTATTTACTTGACTTAGTCCGTTTTTTTTTTTTGGCTCCGAGAGAGATGGAACCTCACACCGAATCATAGTAAACTGCTTTCTGATAGTATAGGAGTGCCCCGAAAGCCTTGCTATATCGCGGAATCTCAATATAAAGCCCCATATCTGTATGAAAATTTTGGTTTAGCATAGTCTTACGAGAGCCTGAGAGATCGAGCCTGTTAAAAACGCTCGAATATTTCAAAAATCATTATAATTATCCCTTTAATTCGGCTTAATTGATATTTAATAATAATCTTCACCAGCATTCGTTTGTTATTCAGAGCAGACAGCGTGAAAGTAGTTTGAACTTGAACTTCATGACATACCCGATTTATATAATAATTTATTATTAATCTGCAACTCCTACGTTGAAGATAAATTACGTCATAATACTTCATCTAAAGTGCAGTTTTCACGAATTATAATAAATTATCCGCTATTTATATGAATATAAATAAAACTTCCTCCCCTCTTCTGGTAGATTTCGCATTTTTTTACATTCCCCTAACATGAGGCTTCGTTGAAAGCGGACAATCTCTTAAAAGAGGGGACATTAATCTTGTTAGAACCTCCCTACACCGCTTTATTTTGTATCACAGCTGGAGCAGTGTCGTGGCCAGGAGTAAATCATTGGGGGGAGCTAGAGGGGCAAACTAAAACAATTGGTATTTTTCTTTTTCCCGGCTAGCACTGCTACAGTTTAAGTGTAAAAGTAACAGTAGCCTATGTTTATGTGATGAAAGCATTATGTATACTGCATATGACATAAATTGAAGGGACTTATCCACCTCAGCACCCCCCGTTTTTACTTGAAAATGATCGCAAAATATAATAAATTTGATCTAAAAATATCTTTCCATCCTACAGACATACCTGTAATGTGTTCAGTTAAGCCCACAACAGGGTGTTACATAGTCAGAGATGAAGCTTGATATATCTATGTGATTTCGGAGGAATGTAGGTTTGGGTCTGATGGACTTGAACTTGAGTAGCATGAGCAATTGAGATATTACCTTTGTGACCACCATTTTTTTTAACTCTTTTTGCCTTGTGGACTCTACGAGAATCTTTAGCAAGCCCATTAACGGTTTTCCAGGTGCACAATGGGGTGGTGAAGGATACAGCCACCCACGCCACCTTTTCTCAATGCTAGAACTCTTTGTGGCATGCCGTCAATCAGTTAGTTTATCTAACTTTGATCCATTCACATCTATTCAACAATGTTATATGTTAATATTATGTGTAAAACACAGTATAAATGCAAAGTTTGTTGATTTACATCTTTAATAAATCATTTAATTGTACATTTTTCCAATTAAAATAACTGTTTTATATCTTACACATTCAACGAAACTTACAATTAAACTTTTATAATATAGAATATAAAAATTCTTAAATCTCAAACTATATAAAAAGTCCTAAATGTATGATTATAACAATATTTAATTACAATTTAAATGTTTATAATAATATTCTAACATTAATTGTTGTTTATTGCTAATAATTCAACAATTTATGACAAACTCAAAGGTTACTTAAGCGGTGGAGTAGAGGGTCTTTAAAAATTAATATATATAGTCATTTAGAGGTGGCCATTATCCGAGGTTTGACTGTATATATAAAAAAAATTGAAGAATTTCAGAGAATAAGATGCATTTGCAAAAGTTTCAAATAAACAATTTAATCTAATTTTTGGCTCAACAAAACCGATTCAGATTTGCATAATTATTAAAAACAATTTCATAGTTCTATATTTTAAAGATTTATATTATTAGTTATTACCTCCTCAATTTTATATAGTATAATAGGCTCCATTTATGTCAACTTTGCAAGGAAATAACTAATTAATAATTAATAATGTTCTCTTATTCAATTCAAATTGTTTTTCTTAGAACAAACACTTTCTAAAGTATGTAACAGCATCAACCTTTACACCAATCATCATAAGTGAATGAGAGAAGATGCCATATTATTGCTGACAGCTCTAGTCTCTGCTATAGTCTCTTGATAAACAGGGTCTTTCAAAAAGAATGCTACCATTTAAAATTTTTGTACTTATGTTAATTATTATCTGAGAATGTCTTAATGTATATTAAAACACTGGAAAACTCAGGAGGAGTAGCCATTTTCATTTACGTGTGGCATTTCCTAGAGGCAGTAGACGACGAGATGTTTGAATGCAGGCAAGAGATGAAACTCGGGTATTTACTCTAGCGATTGGTATATTGCATACTTCTTGACACTGATTAACATAATTACAGTATTCTTCCATATTCCGAAACCGTGTTGTATCTTTATATCTGTTTAAAAACTGCAATGTAGCACAGTAATCAACACATGGCATAACTCATTCATTTATTCAAGCTTTTGTTGATCTGTTTAAAAACTGCAATGTAGCACAGTAATCAACACATGGCATAACTCATTCATTTATTCCAGCATAACTCATTCATTTATTCCAAATTGTTGAACATATTTTGTTGAACAACTTATTCAACAAAAGCTGGAATAAATGAATGAGTTATGCCATGTGTTGATTACTGTGCTACATTGCAGTTTTTAAACAGATCAACAAAAGCTTGAATAAATGAATGAGTTATGCCATGTGTTGATTACTGTGCTACATTGCAGTTTTTAAACAGATAATTACAGTAATTTAAAATGGTAGCATTCATTTTAGAAGAGCCTTTATAATTTCTTGTTGGTGATGATACACACACAATCTTAAACATTTTTTCTTAAAAAATCTCTCTCCCAAAAAAAACAATTTGAATTGCATTTTACATTTGAGGAGTTTACAAATGCATTTCTCTTATTCTCATAAAACATTGCTAATTAAACAAAGAATTGAATTAACTGAGTAGAAATAATATAGTTTCACCCAAATTTGTATATAGTGCATGCAATAAGAGTATTGATTTTACATTTTTTGTTTAATTTTCAGGTAATCAGATGTGAAACAAAGCAGCAATTTTGTAAATGTGTTAATACTTTTATTGTTTTTCAACTGTTTATTGATAAAACAACTCGAATTGTCTATTGTACGTACATCTTGAAAACATTCCGACAAATTAAATCTCTGCTTAATACACTATATACAGTACTTTTATCATTATAAAATTCGTGACAAGTGCAAGATCAAAATATTTATTTTTTACTTTGATTTTGCATTTGGTGCCAATCTAAATTCTTTTGCAATATGCTCTCTCCTCTTCTGGCGGCATGCTTTCCGGCAAATATCATGAGAATACATACTACTCCCGTCACGACGCACATTATGATGTTTATACGAACTCGCGAGACACTTCTTGCTTTTTCCATTGTTTCCTGACTAAATAGATTATATAAACAAAGTATAATACATGATAAACATTATTACTGTTTAATAGCATTAATAAATTAAATATAATTCAAATTAAGGAAACACTATTTAAAATTTAAATGAGGAAAACTGTAATTCATTTATTCTAATTGCTTCCTTTATTCTAGTTTTCTATTGGCTCAAATTGATAGACTGAATTTTTTTTTTTAAACTTTGAAATTATAGTAAAATGAATTCAATGGCCTCGTATACTTACGGAACGGCTGACGGTACATCTTTTATTGACGGATACTTCTTGGCCCAGACCAATATGTACTTATCATAAGTAGTTGGTACATAATCTGATTGTCTCAGAGCTAAAATAATTGTTTTTTTTAAATTAAAACATATTTTAAGCTGGAAAAACATAGAAAAAGCAATTTTTTTATATAATATGAATCTTGGTAAAACTAATTTATTGGAGCTTCTAATAAATAAATAAATACACTAGGGTTGAAGAGTGTATATAAGAATGAATCAATAAATAACCAGCAATTTTATACATTCTGTGCTGTTGCTTTTGGGTTCATTTATTGATCTATCCTTATATTTGAGTTATGTGACTCTTCTTCATGAATATAAAAATTAAAATTCTAGTAAAATGAAGATGTAAACTTCAAAAGAATAACAATTAAAAACATCTTTAAACAACGTTTGAAACTATCATCTGCTTTAAGCTCCCGTTATAGGGATGGTGAACCTTTGGCGCACGTCGGAAGAAATGTCTGGCATGCAACGTATGCAATTTAATTTAATTTTTTTTTATTTGAATAGTAAAAACTATCTTAATTTCATTTATTTATTATGTTCAGCTATTTATATCATCTTCCTTTTCTCAACTAGTCCTTTTAAATTTATGCTAACTGAGGTATGTTTATTTCAGTTCGCTAAAAGTAATAGTTCTAAGTCTAAAACTTTTGCACGAATAAATTACTTTGAAGTTAATTATGCCTAATGTATGGCACTCGACTCAAAAAAGGTTCATCATCCCTATCCTATTATGTTCTAACTTCAATAATTTTTTTCATTTGTAAGAGAACTTGTTTAAATTTAGAAGATCTGACATAATGATAAGCAGAATTACAACAAAATACAGATTTTATATGTATATAAATTACAGCTAAATTTTCAAATTGACAGTACTGAAAAATAAATCAAGTTATAATGTTACCACTCTCTTATATAATTATAATTTAGTTAATTTGTATTCACATATTAGAGAATTTAATCTTAGTGCAGGTGTATTTTATTAACAAATTTACATCAGTAAATCTGCATAATTTAAAATATATATCTTAATTTTTTTTTGTCTTTTCAAGTCGTACCTGTTAGGCAGCCTTGAATGATAGTAATTTCAGTAAGAGAGCTTGTTAGTTCCCGCTAACATAACAATAGTTAAAAGAAAATAGTTTTTTTGCATTGATTATTATCATATTTGATAAGGCAGATAATCACAATAGTCAAAACAAATTGCATGAAATAATGGCAAATTTCAAGAAATTTCCTCGTTACATTCCGACTAACAATTTCAAATTGTTTAAAATCTTTTTTAATTGTTATTTCTGGAAAAAAAAAAAAAAATGTTTTATCAAAACTTCTTGTTGCTATCAAGGTTGTTATTGCTGTAATTATACCTTACACTAAACAACTTATACGGGTCACAGTTTAGAAATATTACAGACATTCCAAAAACGACCTTGCCAGAGGTCGGATGACCTTGAATGGGGGATTTTTCTTTGATCAATTCATCCAATAGTGAGGGGATGGGAAAAATTCTGACAACCAATAGCAACCTATTTGTGCTAATTTATTTATTTTTTTAATTTTAAAATTTTGCATGATTTTGTTGGAAAAATTAAATCTCTCCAGTAATTAACTTTAAAGTTGAATCATAAATTTACCTTAAATAAAATATGAAATATTAATCGAAATTGTATTATTTTATGAACTTTTTCTATTAAAAACTAGTATCTTACATATACAATTTATGCATACTTTTTACTTTAAATATCTGAAGTTTTCTTAAAATTTGCATTCTAATTCTGTATATTAAAAATAATGCATCATGCTATACTAGTACAGTATATTTTATATTTTTGAAAGTAACGTTTGCAAATGAATCAATCTTATATAATCTGGAAAAGTTTAAACTACTATAAATGGATACATTATTGTCAATTTGACAAGTTTTCCTAAATTAAATAAACAGATAAAGTGACCAATTTAACAGGAAGTTCTATTTGTTAAACTCAATGATAATTACTGATAAAACTCAGGAACAATTTATTCTTAATGATACTAAAACATTTTTACAGAAAAATATAAAAATGTTATAGACATGAAAGTATGGTACATCCTTGTACACAATAAAGAGGAGGGGGGAGTCGAAGCATTTTTAGAGGCTTATGAATTTCTTATAAATCTACTTACTAGTCATGAGAACAGACTATCAGTTAGAAAATATTCACAGCTTTGTTAAGTCAAGGAGTCTGTGAACTATTGTACTGTAGTAAAGGGGAAGGTGTTTGACAAAAGTAAATCAATGTATGTAACAGGATAGGATAAGCTCAAAAACTGTACAGTACACGTAACTAATGGATGAGCCTACTGTCATATCTGAATTATGAATAAATTAAAATTTAAAATGTCAAGCTGCTTATGGAAAACATTCAGTAAGAAACAATGCTTTAGAAATTTACAGTCTTTATGTTAATTATGAACACATACAAAGAATTAATGGAAGGATAATATTTATAAGCAAGCAACTAAATGTCATAATTATAAAAATGGAAATGTTATTATTTTATGCAAAACTATATGTTATTTGTGCAGTACGTAGTAACTAATTTACACTTACCATTACTTCTAGCATACCCGAGTTTTCAACTACAAATGTTTTCGGCTTTGTTCAGAGGCTCTCTTCGGGTGAAATTACAAGAATTATAATTTTACCGAGCCACCACGTATTCTACGTTATATAAATATCCTCCGTATAGCCAAATGATTGCCATATTAGATCGGGCCACATTACTGCTACTATTAATAATTAAATGCCAAGTAATTTAGCCTAGAGGATGTTTATGATTTGTGTCCTCTGGATTCCAAATAACTGTTGTTTTACCCGAAGATGGCCTCCAAATAAAGCTGAAAACTCAAGTTGTGCGATAATCATAAATTAGTTAGTATATAAAGATCCAGCAACTGTGATATTGTTACGTGCAGTATACAGTATCATTATTTACTATTATTTGCAATATATAGCTAAAAGGAGTTATTAAATTAGAAAGATCAAATAGGTTAATATTTCATAAAACCAACCAATCAACATGTTGGTTTTATGACATATTATCCACAAAAGCCAATCAACAGTATCTTAGAATTTTGAATTTTATAGATGCTGTACAGTACATATGCTTATACTTTTATAAGCAATTATGTGGAGGACATATTTTATTCAATAGGAACTTCGCAGTAGCTATTATTAACGTTTATCATCAGATAAATTAGCTCTATAACGACAGGAAACAGTATAGACACGCTCAGAAATACATTACGTATGCAGCATGCAGAAATTAGATTAATATTTTAATGGTAATAACTAATTAAGTTACTCACATTCAAAACTTCCATTACTTTTTGTGCCGTCTGAACTTAATTTTCGATAAATATTAACCGAATATTTTGGTTTAAACTGTCGAAACGTTAGGAGCGACATTTTTCCACCTTGCACAGACAACATTCTGTGTTTGTTTTGCTTACAGTTCCAGCTGACTTAATGCCTAAGTCCACCACATGTAACCACGTTACTCCAGAGCACATCAGCGCCCTCTGAATATCCAGAATCAAAATTTTTTAAACAAATATTTTTTTTTTTGCTTAAAACTTTATAACATAATTATATATGCAATGATATTTTAATTGGAATTATTAATAAATATAATAATAGATGAAACTTTTTAAATACTGTATAAAAAAATAGTATTACTTTGTAATCAGTTTTCGGGTATTTTGAAAGAGGATCCAGGTTCGAATCCGAGTCGAGATCTCGAAGATTCATAGATGATTTGAGCCGTGTATAACGGGTTCCTTCTTTAATACCAGTAGCTCCCATTGGGGATAAGTCGAATCTATGATGGGCATGAGCCCAGTAGTGGCCATGTAGATGAAACCACTGGAGATAGACGGTAACAGGCCGGCCATATAGAGTTTTCCGTTTTTTAGCGTTTGCAATACCTAAATAGGGGCTGATTTTCCTTAGAAAGTCCTCCCTTGGGATTACCCGCGTGTCGCAACCAACAAATAAACAATGATAGACATGAAAAAACTCAATTAATGCCAACAGAAGGAAAAAATTTAAAAACAAAAGAGTTTGAAAATATACAATCTTTTTATTGAGGAATGCTTATTCGAATCAAACTTGCCCTTCTTTTGGCCATTAGAGCATCTCTAATAGTAGAATAGCCTTACTTAACAACACTTAACAAAAGACAACGGCAAAAGTTTAGCTACACTAAGAAGTAAGTTTTAGCCGGCGGAAGGAAAGAGAGAGGGGAAGGGAAGAAACAGGGTGAGGAGATAGAGAGAAAGGAAGAATCCCTCTGAGCAGCGTACGTAAGGGTAATTACTACTTCCTCTACGATTAATGTTGGCGTGCAGTTTTTAGTCTGAGAGGCCTTGGATCTAAAAGAGAACCCGAGTTGTAGCATACACCAATAAGAGCAACTACATTTAAGCTAAACAGAGTAAAGATTAAAGGTTTAAATCGAATACTGTACTAAAATTAATACAGAGCCTAAACTAGCAAGCCTTATAAGAAGCAGAATAACTTAACTGAAAAAACCAGGATAAAAATCGATAACTTAAATATTAACTAGCTTAAAATTAAATTATAGTTAAATATCCCAACTAGCTGTTTTGCCGAATGGTCGAGTAATATGTAACATCTGTTAAAATTTGTCTCCTGTCCTTCAAATTGACAGAAATTCCTTTTCTTCCCTTATACACAGTATCGAATTTCACTCGGGTACTCTCTTCACCTCGGAAATATTGCTGTTGCTTTTTATCTTTAGATAAATAAAAAAATTTGCGTGTAGACACAGCCTTGCTTTCATTTTGTATACCATTTATTCCAAATCATCACTGTTCTGTTAAGAACTGTAGTCTACTCCAGATAGGTTGACACCTAATGTAAACAAAAGCACCTGCCATTCTGCCTTGTGATTAGTGTAATTCTATTGTATATTGTACTTTCGAGTAATTTTTCTCTAAATGATATGATAAAAGGAAATAAATTATATAAAAATATATTTTATTTACCTGTCGAAATAAAAAAAAAGAATTAAATAAAATAAATACAACAATTTGAAACGTTGGGCGTGTTGCCTGGTAAAGCGGCTTTAATACAACTGGATAAGCAAATGGCACAGTCACTTTAAATGAAACGGGCTATGTCATTGGTTTACTCACACAGCTGTATTAAAGACACTTTACTAGGCAACACTCCATTGGTATACTGTATGTGACGGCCGGATAGCCAAGCGATTAAGGTGGAGACTACAGCTCTGGAGGACCCGAGATCGAATTTGGACGGTCAAAAAAACTCTAGGAATTTTTCGGTGGTTGGCCCATCCCTCACCATCCTGCCGCTCCACTGTGGGCCTGGCCTAATCATAATGGCTTGTTAAAAAAAATAAGCCTCTTAGTGTCTATAGGGTGGAAAGTGTTCTTAAAAAAAGCATTGTTGCTGATAGAAAACATCCTGAAATCGCTAATTTTTGCTAAAGCAATAAAAATCGCCCATAGGATTGTTCGCCCGGAGCCAATGTTGAGTCCCTAGAGTCGTCAGGATGGCTGACGACTTAAGCCANATAAGCAAATGGCACAGTCACTTTAAATGAAACGGGCTATGTCATTGGTTTACTTACACAGCTGTATTAAAGACACTTTACTAGGCAACACTCCATTGGTATACTGTATGTGACGGCCGGATAGCCAAGCGATTAAGGTGGAGATTACAGCTCTGGAGGACCCGAGATCGAATTCGGACGGTCAAAAAAACTCTAGGAATTTTTCGGTGGTTGGCCCATTCCTCACCATCCGGCCGCTCCACTGTGGGCCTGGCCTAATCATAATGGCTTGTTAAAAAAATAACCCTCTTAGTGTCTATAGGGTGGAAAGTGTTCTAAAAAAAAAAGCATTGTTGCTGATAGAAAACATCCTGAAATCGCTAATTTTCGCTAAAGCAATAAAAATCGCCCATAGGATTGTTCGCCGGAGCCAATGTTGAGTCCCTAGAGTCGTCAGGATGGCTGACGACTTAAGCCAATCCTGATCGCATCATAATAATCAAGAAAAAGAAAAATATTCAAGTTTATTTGTAAGTTCTCTTTTCTTCGTCACCACGGAATAAATATTCTTACTCCATGCTCATCACTTTTTCAAGTTGGTAATATATTTTGACCACCAGGGTGCAAGGCACTGTCGTCTGCTATAGAGGACCACGTGACCGGCAATAGCCAATCATATTTTGACCCTCCAGTTGACCATACTCTGGTTATAGAGGGCTTTAGTCTGCTATTAAAATGTTTACAGTTCAATAAATTCGATTTTGGAACTTTACAGTTAACTTATTTCCAGTTTATTTTTCTTTAATAACACTACTTATAATGCAAATAAAAACCCTTAAAAACCTGCCTTAAAAAGGGTCGGTAGATACCTGGAATATGGAGAAAAATTTCCCCATATTCCCTAATACGTAAGGAAATTTTTCCCTACGTATTAGGGAAAAGGGAATATGTGTAGGGAATGAAGGAGTATACAGTATATAGTTTACATATATGGGCTAGTTAGAATTTTTGTGACATTATAGAAATCTTTAAGAAAACATATGTAATAAATGAGAAAAATTAACAAAATATGCAAATTTATTTCCCAATCTCTTAAAATATTATCTGAATATATTCTCTTAAAAAATGAAAAAAAAGTACAATGTTCAATAAACATTCTATTTATTTAAACTTTCCATGTTTAAATCAAACATAATAAATAAAATAAATAAAGCACGACATAATATATTAATTTTATCACAGTTTTATGGCTATGTGTAATACATATATTCCAATTATTTTTGATTTATAGCATTAATCTTATTGACAGATCAAAAGACTTTGATGATGTAGTTCTTTACACACACAACTTATTTTGATATATTGTCTAATAATAGTTTTAATTAAGATATAAATATGATTCTCTGGAAAAGTATTATCAATAACATGCATCGATAGATCATTAAAGAGTTCTTCGATTGATAATCGGTTGAAAACTTGAGTTTCAATAACTTGATAACTCTTAGGAAGAATACTTCTTTTGTTTCCTAATAATTCTTTTATAACTTTTTCAGTTTGTTTACAAACCTTTAAAACATCTAAAGAAGGATATAATTTATGAGTCTTCTTTATAGAGTAGTTATTTAGAATGCAATTTTTGCCACGAACAGAAGAGCAACAGTCGGGGCATACAATTAAATCGCACAAATCCTTCACTAAAGCATCTATACATATTCTATCGACATATTCGCATGAACTTTGTATATTTTGTAAATATGGCCTGTTTATTTTCCTATTCGGATAATCAATATCCAATTTTCTATACTCTGAAAAGATAACAGGGTCGAGTATATATACACTTTCGTCATTTATTGAAGTTTCTGTTCTTTCTAAAACTATAGTTTTAAGAGCAGTAGTGTGATCTGATAGATGCTTCAACTCCTCTTGTATATAAGAAGCAAATGCTTTTTTGAATTCAAGTGCAGAAAGAATACCATATGAGTTAATACACTTGTAAATTCTATGAAGACACACATGTAAATGATTGAGACTAAATTTGTATGTTAATAAATACCTCATTTCTTTTGTAGCAATTAAATTATCAAAGATACGTTCGAGCGAAACTATGAAAGAAATGAACCCAACTATGGGTACCTTTTTATTTGTATCACGGATTAATTTTCTTTTTGAATTCCTTAAATCCAGTAAATATGCTATCACTTTCGACAAAAATGGCTTCCAGATGTGTTTATTAGACATTTGTAAAGGTGATTTTAAGTGTTGACTAAGAATATTTTTAGAATTACAAATATCAATTAAGCCTTCTATCAGATAGATGAAATCTGTAGTTGAAACCACTTCTCTAAATTCTTCATGGAGCACATCCTCCTCTAAAGATAAAAGCATGTCTGCTACGGAAGAACTCAATGCTTGAACAGCCAACTCGCAATTTTTATAATAAAAATGTTTGTAGTTTTTGATTAACTTTTTAGACAATAAAATCTGTAATTTTTCAATTAACTCCCATTTGATTTCTTTGCCTTCATAATCAATTAATATTTTACTTTCTGCAAAAACATTTCTTAATAGTTTTAACAAATGACAAGAATCAAAAAAGATGCACACATCTTGTTTACTTGTTGGATGAGGAAACCAAGGTAACATACTATTAATACTAAGTTTTGCTCCTAAGCTTTCAGCTAAATTAAAATTTACTTTCAGACAATTGCAAGTGATTCCAACAATATTAACTTCTATGTTATGCATTAAAATTAAACACAAGTTTATTAAGTTGCATTTTTCCTCAATAGTTAATCTATCGATAAAGAAGTATGCTATTGGAATTTTCCAATCTACATTAATTCCTACAATTACAAAAATAATCACTTCTTTTGCTTCAGTACAATCTCCCGTTTCAATATTTTCACCCAAATCTACATGTCCTACAAATTGATTGTGATCCCAATCCACTTTCTTCTTTATTTGTATTTCAT